CACATCCCATATGTTCTTTTAACAGTAGATAGTCTATAGTCGCAAGATTTTGGAGTGCTGCAACTTGTACTTCTGGACCTGGAGTAAATTTAAATAATGTTTTGCATCAGACCACAAATCCAGTTCCACAAGTCTTGGGGCTTCTAAACCTAGGAAACAGTATGGGACCTGACATTTTCAATTTTGGATTAAAACATTCTTGTTGGATTAGAAAATTCAGGTTCCCAGGAGTTATATGGTAGCTAAAAACAAACACGTTTTAGTGTTTTCTACATGTCAGACACTGTGGTAACTGTATTACAGATATATCATTGTATTTAATCTTCCTGATATTGCTATGATGTATTACTGACTCATTTTTACAGACAAGCTGACTGAGGTTCAGACTACTTAAATTATGCAAGGAAGGAAAATAGAAGGCAACTGTAAAGTGGTACGATAATTACAGGCAAAGTACAATGAGAACTAAATGGAAGTGAGGGTTCCTCCCACATCAGTTTTAACTTCTGTTGACCTGGTGATTTTGTTCAGTCAGATATGGCATCAGTAGCATAATAGGACCAGGTGGGAACATGAAGACATGTCAGGAATTTAGCAGTACTGGTTGGTGAAAAGTTGGATGAACTTGAGACTACAGAAACATAATCAGACACGGGTGTTGACCCCAACATGGTAGTCCTCCTTTTGCTGTCAAAAGGGCACGAAAAGTTCAGACATGGCTTAGGCAGCTTTGGCACCAAAGTGGGCCTATCCAGAAGGATTTAGTAATCAGCAAGCCTAGTCAGTGGGTGGTATGTGAAGAAGTTTAGTAGTCTGAGGGTGATATATCACTGTAGGACCCTAGCCAGTGACAGAGGGTCTAGTCAGAACTGGGACTAGTGAAAAATCCACACCAAGCTTATCCCTTCTTCATACTGGTTGGGTTCTGAGAAAGGCTCCAGTTCAATTAGAAAAAGGAAACCAAAGGAGAAGTCCAGAGCTATAGGCCAGGAAAACATTATAGGGGCTAATAGATAGGGTATTGGTACAGCTGGAAGTCTACATTCTAATCCAGAGCTCTTGTTTGGTATTGTGCATCTCCAGCCAGAGGCCACATGCTTCCTATGGGTGGAGGCTGATGAGAAGGTTCAGTCCTGGTCACATTTGCCTCATGAGCTGCAATAGACTCCTGAGGTAGGATTCAGGAAACATAACTACAGGGAGCAAAGGAAGTCCAGGACAGGACATGGAACAGTACCAGTCATTATGACTGTCTTCAAACCTTAGATTCGTATACTACCCAGAGTTCAAGCTGCACTCTAAACCATGAAAAAAAAAATCACAGCTTAAGCTAATGCTTTGATTTATCACAAAATAGCATTCTTCACCAAATTGCTTAAAAAGTGCCAAATTTTAGGCCAGCTAATGGAAAAAAACAAAAATTAAATTGTGTAGCTAAAGATTAAGCCACTCTTTTTTGGCAAGACACTTTTATACTCTTCATGGTGTTTACCATTTTTCTCTATAGATGGTTTTCTTTATTGAAGTTCTTTCACTTAAGAATGTATGCTTTTCTTCTGTAAGAATTTAACATTATGTTGTCCACCAGTTGTCTTCCCTTATTAAATTCCTGTCTAACCATTACTTTCTTTTATTTACAGATAATATACTCTGTCCATAGAAAGTCTTCCTTTGTAGAATGCTATGGACTGAATTTATGTTCCTCCAATTCATATGCTGATATTCCAAGCCCAGATGTGATGATATGTAGAGATGAGACCTTTAGGAGAGGATTAGGTTTAGATGAGGTCCTGAGGGTGGTATCCTTATGATGGGATTAGTGCCCTTTTAAGAGGAGGAAGAGAGAGAGATTGCATGCATCAGGGCAAGCCATATGAGCCCTCAGTGAGAAGGCAGCCAGCCACCTGGAAGCCAGGAGCAGACTCTCACAGGAATCTGACCGGGCTCGCACCCTAATCTGACTTCCAGTCTCCAGAACTGTGAGACAATACATTTCTGATGTTTAAACCACCCCGTTGATAGTATACGGCAGCCTGTGCTAAGACAAAAAGGTCTTAAAAATGTGATTTTATTAACTATTAATGAAGCTTATTATTATAACACACAGGAAAGCCTCAGAAAAGTTTTATGATTCTTGTATTTGCATTTTTTCATCTACAAAAATACTTAAAATCATTCTTCCAGAGATGTATAAACCAGTGTTTTGATCTTTTTTAGTCGTACTTTATGTAACAACTGATAGGAAAGGTTGCTAAATGACAGCTTCTCCAAAGTCCAACCTAACTGCTGTTTGTTACTGGCTTTCTCCCAGAGTCCTTCCTTTCCTTCCCTTGACTGCAGGCTTGACTGGGGAAGAGGTTATTTTCCTGGTCTTAGTAAAAACATGTTGCTCTGCTGCCAGGCTCTGGCTACTCTTACAATGCCTCCTTTTGCAGCCACCCTCTTCCTGCCTGACCATGTACTTTTTCTACATATATCCTCTAGGTATTTTCCCTTAAGGATAATATTGAAAAAGAAACCAATAGTTTGATGATGTCTCAGGCCTTAACCTATGTCAACCAGTAAACTACTATGCTAGGTTTAACATTATAGTTAAACAAAGTATTTGGAAGAAGAAATGTTTCCTATGTTTTTATTTTGAGAAGTTTTTGTAACTATCTTAACCTCATAGTTTTATATTTTATATTTGAGAGGTTATCACTTATAACATCTTGGGCAAGTCAGTTAATCTCTCTGAGACCATCATTCCTCATTCCTAACAGGGAAAAATATAAATAGCTATTATATCATTGCATAGGGTTGTTGGCAGACAGAGTAATATAAACTAGTTTGTATAAATATTGGTTGTCATATTGCTGGTTGGGAAATACCTGCCTGTATGTAACTCAGCCAGATTGGCCACACAGTTGATACAGTGCATCAAAGTAGAGTGCTAGATTCATCGTTGGTGCTTATTTGTACTTTTTTTTTTTTTTTTTTATCAATTTGTGCAAAACAAGTTTGCTTTAGAGAATATTCTGAGTATGAACAAGGGGCAGGGGAAAAAATAATTATACCACAAATCTATGCTAGTGCTCTCATAATCTTTAATTGGTACACTGGAAATGTGCTGTATTCAAATTCCTCTTTTGATACAATGCTTTCTTTTCATGTCCTATAAGTGGTTTGTTTGAGAAAAGTAGGTATATTTTGTGGAAAGTAAATCTGGCCATTTTCCCTACTTGGTAAACAGTAAGATTTCAAGTGGGAGAAAGAAGGAAACAGAATAGTTTTCCTGCTTAAGACTAATTGAAAGCTTTAATCCTGCACTCTTCCCATTCTCTCTCTCTCTCTGTGTGTGTGTGTGTGTGTGTGTGTGTGTGTGTGTGTGTGTGTGTGTGCGCGCGCGTGTGTTGGAGGGGCTGGGTAACCAAGTGTGCAGTGGTGAAAGAGAAATAGTAACAGAAGTAAAGAATCAAAAGATGTAAGGGAGACATGGGAACATTTACAGTCTGTTACTGATGTGAAGTTAAAGGCCCCAAGAAATCTTGCTCTCTTTTTCTTCTCTCCTCAAACTCCCACTTAATAAATTGTTTTTTGCCGAAGGAATTCACGATAGTCTAAGACTGAAGTTATTTTTAAGTAACTCTCCCCCATCCCTGACCCATTTTAATAGAAATATATGGGTAAAGTGTTTATAGAACTAGTTTATATTACTCTGTCTGCCGACAACCCTATGCAATGATATAATAGCTATTTTTATATTTTTACCTGAGCTCACATAGTTCTGTAGTGACAAGTAGATGGGATGCAAATGTGAGCCACAATTTGTATTTGCTCTTTTATCCTGTTTTTCAGAGTAATTATTACAGTTGTTGCATGCCTAAATAGGGGAATGAATAGTTCCATTTATTTGTATAGATAGACATTCAATAGAATAAAGTTCTGGGTAATAAAAAAATGTGACACTGCCTTGGAAAACATGAAAAATATTAATAAAATATTAATAAACATAATAAACTAATAAATACTTGAAGACTGGCAATGCTAGGAAACATGGTGACACAAAAAATTAACCATATTTTATGTATAATATAGCAGATAGAAAAATATGATGCCTGCCTATGTTGAGATATGCTACAAAACAGAGCATTTTGGGTGTGAGACCTGTCCTTTGGCTTTTCCTTCATTAAAGTAAGCTGTTTTCATATTGCTAATTTTTTCTTACCCATTAATAGAATGATATGAAAACTTCATTGGCTTATTATCTAAGTTTCTTGCCAGTTTTAATCTATAGAAGCTTCTAGGTCAAATTTTAATTAAAAAACCCTTCACTTAAGATTTATTAAACATTTGTTCTATCTATACGTATTTTAAAACATTTATTCCTGTCCATATCTAATTTAAAAAGGGGTTTATTTGATCATATATTTCTTAAACATTTATCAGAACTTGGAGGGGTGGATAGGAAGTGTTCTTGATCTGAGATTTTTGAGGTAGAGAATATAAAATGGTGTTGGTTGTTCATGACAACAGCGTTTCCTATATTGTAGCCATTTCTTCTCCATTTAGTGAGACAGGGTTAACTTTGTTTCTTGTGTAGTATTGGGTCCTGAGATAGATTAGGAACTTTGGGGTATGTCATTTGATAAGGAAATACCCAAGTCAGAGCAAGCATATATTAAATCTTAATTTGTTTTGGGGTCTTTCTAACGGAATGATGGTGGTGTGGTAAATACAGAAGCACTGTTATTCTTATTACTACTCTTCCAAGACTGGCGATACCAGTCACTTCTTTAACTTCCAGTTCGTGAAAAAGTGTAAGTAAAAAAAGGCACCGTTGGACTACAAAAACAGAAACTGCATCTTTCCATGCTAACTGCCCCGGTAAAAGTTACCCATTAACCCTATCATCAGTCTGACAAGGTAGGGAGGCAGAATGAAAATAACCCTCAATTATTTTAGAGTGTATTTGTTTCACTTGAGCCTTTTAAGGTTTTCGTGTGTGTGTTTTAGAGAGGAGACTCAAATTTCTTGATGCAATAAATTTACTAAAACATAAAAAATGTTTGATAAGCGAACCTTTAAACAGCACCAGGTTACGCTTTTTTCTTCACACACACCATAATGCCTGACTTTTGAAAGGATCTGAGACAGGGTAGTATTAAGAATACAGTATTTTAAAGATTAGTTTCAGTCCTCTACAATGCCCTCATGATGGATCGACTTCCAAAGAGGCCTTCATCCCACTTAACCAACTGTCTGGCTTCTCGGAACTCCAGTAGGTTCATTTTTTGAAAATGTGAGATAACAAACTACCACGTTCTTACAGTTCAGAGGATTACCTGAGCTCACAGATGTAGTTCTGCAGGGACAAGCAGATGGGATGCAAACGTGAGCCACAATTCGTATTTGCAAGCAACTGGGTCCCTGATACAGAGATGGGGTTACAAAAACGTGGGGTAAAATGTCCACCCTGGGATGTCACTCCTTTAGGCCGGGCCCTAAATTTCTATGGCACCTGGAGGGGCGGGCTCCGAACACTCGGGGACGCCTCGACACCCAGATGTGGCACAAAGGCGCCCTGAGGCTCTTTGCTCACTCAGGCCTCGAAATTTTTAGCAGCCCTCCTAAACCATGGGAGCGTTTTCTTCCAGGTCTCTCCGCAGACCTCGCCTAGCCTCTCCTCCCACAGCCTCGCCCACAGAAGCGTTTCCGTAGCCACAATCACTCCACGTTCTTCCTCACGCACCGCTCGCGCGGAGGTGGGGAAAAGGGTGTGGTTTGGCCTTTATAGGTCCTGCCAGCCAATGAACGTGCTACCTTTCTTCCGGTAGGCGAGCCGACCAATCCGAGCCAGCCGGTGTGATCTTCGGCTCTACTCGGCTCTTTTCGCTGATGCGGGCAGCTTGGGGCCGCCGCCGCTGGAGAGACGCTTTCCTTTTTGATTTTTTTCCGTGTGTTCACTTCCGGGTCCGGCGCCGATCCGGATGCCCGAGGCAGAAGGATGTTTGACCTCCGGATAAGCGAGGCGCCGCTGTGCATTCATTCCCGTCTGCATCGGTGGCGACAGCAGCTGCCCGGGCGGCGACTCTCTGGCCAGAGGCGGCGGTAGGAGACACCGGCTGGAGTGCTGCGACCGAGTCCGCGCCGAGCTGCGTTACCTCCCTCGCTCGTTCCTTCCCCCCTACCTCGCTCGCTCCCTCCCTGCGCGGCTCGCTTTCCACCTCCGGCCGCCCGCGGGTGTGATGTGCGGCGGCCGCTGCCCCCGCCGCCGCTGACTGACGGACCGGGGGCGCCGCCCGCGCCCGGGAGCGACCCCGCTGCTCGTGGCCGCGCCTCTGAGGTAAAGCCCCCTCTGCGTCGGCGCCCGGCTGGCGGCCTCGGCCCGGTGGCAGCCGCGGCTGCCCGCCTCCCGGGTGGGGCTGGGTGGGCTGGGGTCCCGGGCTGGGTGGGGTGGGCGCGGCGGGGGCGGCGCCTCCGGCGGGGCCTGGGAGAAGGGGTGGCGAGGACCCGGGCGGTGCGCGGGCGGGAGGGCGCGGAGGGCTCGGTGGGCTGGAGGGTGCCGCGGGCGGCGGGCCGGGCCGGCTGCCGAAGTTCCCCGAGCGGTGCGGCGCTAGTGGGGACCGGAGGGAGGTGGGCGAGCGGGGGAGAGGCGGGGGCTTCTCTCGGGAGCGGTTCTGAGGTCGGAAGTGCAGTCCCCAGTGCTCCCGATGGTGTCCAGACCGTCACCACCGGAGTGCGGCTCGGGCAGCAGGGAGGAAGGCATCAGTCTGCGGGAAGGAGTGTCAGGGGCTGGCATTCATTTCGGGGGTCAGCTTCCCTTTGGGGTGTTTGTGGTCACTGGGGAGTGGGGCACAGGGATTTATCTATTTGATAGAGCTTTTCACTTAGCTCAAAACTTAACCAAGGCGTTAGTCGGGGATGACAAAATGACTCTGATTGTTACTGTTACGGCGTTCGTTTGTTTATCCCACATGCAGGGGAAGTGACAAACTGAAGCGACGGTTCTCGGTCTACAGCCCTCACATTTCTTTTCTGCGGTTGGTGACGGAGATGAGTGTGTGCAGGTGGGGTGGGGGACAGTTAGGCCTGTGTTATGGTCTTTGCAGTTCTCCCGGGGAAGGAGGAAAAGTTAATGGGTGGGAGGAAGAGAGTCTGTGTGGGAGATGGCTACTGTTGCTACACTGTGTGAATTAGTTTAAACTATGTTGTAATGAGTACCAAGGCTGGTCACTAAGTGACCCCCTTTTAACCTTTTGTTTTAGAACGTCGACTTCAATTGGAAAACTAAAAGCCTACTGATTTTGAATAAGTTAAGAAAATAAGTCAATATTTATTTCTTTTACTCTTGCAGTTACATCTTGTGATATGAATGATATTTGTCCACAGATGGTAAAAGATGTTGAACTGTATCTACATTGGAATACTTTTTAAAAATTAAAAATAGCTAATTTTAAAGTCCTGAATTTATTTTTAAGAATATTTGCTTTCCCTACAAGTAAATAAGTTGTGGGTGAAAAATATCACAAAATCATAAAAAGAATGATTTAGAATTAGAAAAATGTGGGGCCAGTGTAAGAAAACATTTTTCACCAAAAATCAGATCTGGTTTGTGACATTCTAAATAGCTTTCTGACGTGGTGGTGGGGTTGGAGAGATGTGCTTATAACTGTTCCAAAGTTTGCTCCAGCCATATTCTGAGCTAAGATAAATTATCCTCCTATGTTGTATGCATTAGCTTTTATAGTTGTGCAAAAGGTGAAAATTACATTTATGGGGGTTGGAAAAAAGATATCAAATACATTGCATGGCTTTGGTATAGATTCTTAGCACAGCATGTAGACACTTGCTTTCAGGGAGTATTGCATTTCTGGATTTGCATCAAGTATAATTCTTAACTAGAATGGAGGACAGGAAGGTTAATTTTAGTGTTAATATGTATAAGCCTTTTTTGGGGGGAATTTGGAAAATGGCTCTTTTTTCTGATGATTTATTGTGCTCATTGACCTCTTCTGCCACCGTCAACTAAATGCATTATGTAATTATTGATATTTGCACCATTAGATTTGCAAGCATTAACTGTTAAACTCTTTAATATATGAAAGTCATTTATTCCTTGAAATAAGGGACTGGGATTAAAATCAAGGAATAGTTTAGTTCAACCCAGACATTTGCTATGTGTAAGGGTCCTTTCCTATGTGGTGAGGTTGAAGAGTGGGTTGAGTATGAAGGTGAATGTGACCCAGTAGCTGCTTTCAAGAGAGAAGTAGACGTGCACAGAGGTAACTGCAACACAAGACTCCTGTGGGCTTCATTAGAGGTGCATGAAAGCACGGTATGTGTGTGTTACTAATTTTTGACTGGAGAATTCTGAATGATTTTTGAGCTGGTAACACCATTTGGGCCTTAAAATATTTTAATGGGCTAAACGGGGGCTGTGTTTCAGGGGTAGTTTTCTAGGTAAGGGGAACATATTGGCCTATTGGTTGGGTATCATGGGGCCTATTAAGCTGGACACAAGGCTGCAGTGCCAGGAGGTCTTTGTGGAAGAGGAAGCTGTGAAAGTAGGCAGAGATCAGGCCATGGAAGTCTGGAAAGTCATGGGTTTAAAAAGGAGTCAGTTTGAGGTATGAAGGTTCACATGTATAGGTTTTATGCTGACAGGGAGTATGTAGCAAATAAGGATAATAAGTTTATGGAAACAAATTATAACAGAATAGTCAACTTGTTATCATTCATGCTAATGGAGGAAAGCAGAAAAGTATGTAATCTAGAGCATTTCATACATGGCTTTGTCATATTTCTTTACTTGCATTTGAATATGGGTGTGTCTGGTAATCTGGTAGTTGGTTTTATATGAAATAAATCCAGACTATAAAAATGTGACTCAGGAAGAGTCTAGTTTATTGATTCAGGTTTTTTGCAAAATGAAACAAGTGGTTTTTAGTTTTAAAGGGCTTACCAAAGGGTATATCAAACTAAATACAGGAAATACTGAACTAGTAAATAACAAAACAAAATACAGGTCGCTGGGTACTCACACTTCCGTTAAGACATTTGAAGGCTAGATTTGCTGTGGAAAAAGTGAAGTGTAAGGGATCTATGTACAAAGAGAATTAACTATAGCAGTGGGATGATAAAATGAGAAGTTTTCACAGTTCTAGATAAAAAAATATGAAGTTTTAGTAGCCCTAAATATCAGATGACCTTAAAATGATTTTATCTCAAACTTAATTGTTATCAGACGAGTGCTTAGAAAAATATCACCTTCACAGCACCACTGCTTAAGTTCATGTAGAATCATGTTACAGGGGAGATTTTTTTTGGTGGTCTTTACTATTTCCCCTATGGCATTTAAAAAGGACATATTATAACTGAAGTTATGTTATCTTGAATCACCAAGTAACAACCATACTTGTCTTAATTTACCAAAAGCCTCCTTTGTAGAGGGGACCGTAAATAGTAGAGTTAAGACAACTCTGAATTAGGTGGTGTAACCCTTGCTTTTGACAGTAGGAAACAGTCTTCTAGAGTTTAAGGAACCTGTGTAAGAGGTATCTTGGAAGTAGTATAGGGCATATTTAAATAAAAAATTTTTTAACTTCAGTCTTAAACAATCAATGAGATCTGTTTCTCTCTGATCTTCCATCTTCTTCTTCTTTGTCTTTTGTTAAGCATTTGGCACATAGTGATACCGATTGGTGGTGTTAGTATGTGTCTGGGTGTTGGTTCTTCAGGATGTAATTTTTTTGGAACTGGAAATTTTTGAGGTATCTGTAGTTCTCTAATTGCAGAGATTCTGTAGGGGCAGACGGTATACTTCTAGCAGCTTAAGCTACCTCAGACTACCACTTTTGTTTATCTGCAGGACAGAACCATAGTTGGGATACTTAAAGTGTAGTGATCAAGTGTGAATTATCCATTAATGTGAAGTGACTTTGTAAAGCCTCTGAAGTATTCAAAAAATATGAAATGAGAGAGAGAGATGTGGGTACATATAAGTTTTAGAGATATAGTGGATGCTGCTGTTAGCCATGTTTTTTCCAGTGCCCTTCTCAAAGCTGAGATGTAAAAAGTTTAAATACTTGGGCTTCCTCTTACTATGGGACCTAAGGAAAGTACATAGTGATTTGTTCTTAAACTATGTTTATTTGTTCTTAAATGTTTGATTCTATTCTGTCCTCCCATTCCTGCCCATCATCTTAGTTAGGAGAAAGAATTCTTAACTATCAACTTGAAGTGTTTGAATATTTGGTAGGTAAGACACATTTTGGTCATTTTCTTTACTAATGATGTATCACATAGTTTTAATTTAATGAAAATCTGTAGTTATGTCCATGTATGGCTAAATCATGTCTACATTTTTATATCTTTCACTGGAATTTGGTAGTAAAATCTCATGCAAGATATTATTTTTTAAATACAAATTTCTAATGCTTTCTTCTTTCAAGTGTTGTCAGACATTTAGCTGTATTAAAATTTATTATATTTACTTAGCTGATTTGGTTTTGAACCATTTTCTTTAGCTGATAGCTACATTTGCAAAAAAATCCAAAAAACAAAATGGAGGGTGGAAGAGACTTATTCCACCAATATTCTCTTCGTCAAGTTGTAGAAAATTCATATAAAGTGCCAGTAGGTGATACTTGGCACATGGTAGGCACTGTATAAATCTCTTACATCCACAAGCTGGTGCTATATATGAGTTGTTAGAGTGTTGATTGGTGGGTAGTATAAACAAAGACTCTCTGGAATGGCCTATTGCTGGAGAATCTCTTAACTCACCTTTGCTGAATCCACCCAAAAGTGATACTTCTCATTCATTTACTACTTGGTGTTCATGCCATGCTGAATGGCAATAGACTACTCTGTAGTTTGTTCTTGAACTTTTATTCCCACCAGTTATTGCATAGTTGCCAAGAATCATTTGTGTTTGTACTCAACAAATTGTTAATGGCAGTTGTACTTGATGTTTTAATTACATAGTTTAATGAAGCATTCAGGAACTATGAAGGCAAAAAGGTGTTTATATGAGAACCAGTGGCTATTTTGAAAACAGGTGAGGAGCTAAAATCAATTACTTTTGAAATAGGTGTGAGTGAAATATCTTTAAATGGTTAGGAAAAAAATAAAAATCTAGAAAGATTATGCAGTAAGATTGCTTTTCAGTGTTTGTGAGATGTCTTTCTATGTTTAAGAAACAGAAACTGGAAATCACAGGTGATGTACTATGGGTGTGGTTTTTACAAGGGAGATTAAATAGAACTACCATTCACTGACCCATACTTGAAGAAAAGGCCTTGGCCTTGCATTAAAAGATTGCCTCATGAACGTAAATTTTTA